AGATTCCCGCAGCTGTACCCACAAGAAGTGTCCAGCAGAAAGCCCCCATGGCCTGTAGCCCACGTCACGTTGCCGCAACTGAAGCCGGCGCTTCATCAACTACCGCCTGTGCCCTACAGGCGCTAGACAGGTCCCAGTGGCAGTCGATTCATTTGAATCTGAAATGCGGGTTTTTTATGTGCGTATGCCGCCTGTCACTACCGTCTACCCGCCTGTTAAGCGCAATCGATTGCCGGAGCCTCTGGGGCACGCGAGCACTACCCGCGCCGACGCAGCTATCTGCATATGCTGCGAAGACACCGCAGCAGCACGCTCTTCTTCCTGAGCCGGAAATCGGGGGGGCACATACGCCGCCATACCTCAGTCGGCATCAGTTCATGGCAGGCAAGCGTCAACGAAAGTGCTTTTGGAAAGGAGGTTTACGCCCGCTACTTCTGCGAATGGAGCGGATTCACTCTGCGACCCACTGCCTCGCTCGTGTAAAGCGGAAAGACAACTGTAGCACAACTCGAGATGTACAGCACGCATACATATGTGGGGCACGCGGCCGTCGTACGGTGCCTAGACCCCTATGCTACGGGGGTCGAGCGGAACGCGTCGGTATTAGCCTATGTATGACTGAACACTTGACCGGGTCGGGGGCACAAGTCGACAATGCAACGCCTACGACCCAGTATTGGGCAGAGTGCTGAGGAATACCTGCGGTGCGCCAGGCAACCTGCTCGCTTTCTCGTCGCCGTGGGAGCTGCGCGAACTAAGGCGTCTCGTAGGCTGCGCGCACACTAAGGCGTCTCGTAAGCTGCGCGCACTATGGCGTCTCGCTAGCATTTGTAATCCAGTGGAACGCGCCGCATTACACGGGCTGTCCAAGTCTGTCTTTCCCGACGTCCTCGTCGTAGCCACCCCGTGGCGCTTACTTTTCGTTCGACTGCTAGTATCACTCCTACGATTACCAATACTGGCCTTACTACGAAGTGGCCCGTATAGATCTTTTGAGCGGGCCGTCCGGATTCTTGTTCCTCCTTGCGCGGTCTTGCAGGCAGATGCTGCAGTAGCCGCTGCCTCTTCACGTAAGTTTCGCGGTGTTAGCCCCGGGCAGATCTCGGGACGACCGCTTCTTCATCCCCAACACGCCTGCTCCCCCCACACCGCCACATCGTATCCGACTGCGTCGAGCTTCAGAATGGCGTCCATGCAACGAGTTTCTCTGCCAGGGCACAAAGCACACTCTTTCAAGGACCCGGAAGCACCCAGCGTACGGGACACTGGACGGCAGAAGAGAAGAACAAGTACCTTCGTGCTGGCTTTGCTTGCACACCAGCGAGCCATATCAGGTTGTCGGGACGTCAGCGGCGACGCAGGTATCCGTCGTACAGTTTCCAATTGGCGTCCCTTTTTGATAGGTTCCTCTTCCGTTGGTTTAGTTCTTTTCCTTTTCCTGGCACAGCAGTGGATCGTCAAGGGCGCGTTGTGTGCACCTGGTTCCATGAGCGCCATCGCACGCGCGCGCTCAAAAGCCGGCATCGAGTTGACTTCTCCCGGTGCTCGGCGACTGGCCGAGCGCGATACCGAGGACGACGATACCGGCCACTTTGAGTCTATAGAGGAGGAGCCGGCGGTAAGGCCCGCTCCTCCGCTTCGACCTCTCCTGCGGCTAAGCCCCCAACATGGCGCGCTCTGTCGTCAACGGACTTCGTGGAGAATGCGTCTTCGAGCACTCCTAGGCGGCGTAGGGCGTTGCAGAGCTGCTACCGAAGTTCTACTGGCACCGTTGCTCGTCGCGGGCTTTTCTCTCTTGGCCGTTAATCAACTGATTCATCCGTGCAGCAGAACGCGCGAAGGCTGCCGGGTTTTCCTCGCTGCAGTCCATTTTCACGTAGGCCTAACGAAGGCCTATGCGTTGCTTCTTCTAGTCCGCCTGGCTTACGCCTGGCTGAAACACCCGACTCGTCCACGAGACCGGCTGGATGTGTAGAGTAAAGATGACATAGGTGCAGGGACGGAATCTACCACCGGGGCGAAGTGGTAGACGAAAGGACTACTAGGGATGAAGTCACAGTTGTCGAAGAGGCTGACCACACTGAGCGGTACCCTCATGCGCCTGACGTGCGGAAGCTCCTAACATGAAAGTCATGCATGCAGGGTAGAGTCGAACACCTATCAAGGCACCCACGTCGTATCGCGTGACCAGCGGAAAGGTGCGGGTCTGTCGCGGCGGAATGGCCAGCGGTAGCGCTAAGGAAAGGATAGCTCCCTGGTTCGGTGGTATCTGCCTCCACGGCCCCGGACGAAGGGCTCATGTTGCGCAACAGTACCTTGCTGAATGCAGAAGTGGCAGTGCATATCGCGCGCCTCCAGTGTGGCCCGGTGGACTGCGTACAGTGCAATAAGCTCGCCGGTTCCTGATGGACTTGCCGGGTAGTCGTGGCTGCGCGCCCCAGCCACAGGTGTGAAGCGGACTCCCTGCGCCCGGCGCCGCTCAGCGGACGAAGAATTGGCTACCAGACCGCACCTCATGTGCGGGTGTGTAGGTTGTAACATTGGGGAGCCCCTGAGTGTGCACGCATGCACACCTGTAGAAGCATCAACATGTGCCACATCGTGTGTGGGCCTCTACGCGTCATCCCTGCGACCAGACGTGTCAACGACCGTTGTTGTTTGTTTCCTGAGGAAGCCTCATTATCAGCTATTGCCGCTCGGAAGGCACGGCACTTCCCAGCCTCTCCGCGTCCTCGGTTCCGAACGGGTGGAGAAGGCCACATCTTCAGCACGGGGCATCGCACCTCGTGGGGAGGTGTGGTATTACTGCAGTACCCAGGGATCCACAGACCGCGCCTTGCTTCTAGAGACGCATCCAGCATGTTTCCTCTGCGGAGGAAGCCAGAGACTGCGCGAGGAGGTGCAAGTGCTGCATCAAGAACGCATAGCAACCCACGAGGAGAACAACGCTCGGGGAGCAGCACTCGTTGGGGTGAATGAGCAGCGCACGCGGGTGGCATCCTGCGCGGGGACATCCGGCAGCGCGTCACGCCCTAAAGACCAAATACGGCATATGCTATACCTTGTTGAAGGCGCCTTTGCGACGCAGCACACGCAGCGTACACAGCCTGAAAGGTGAATGTCCTTGCTTCCCCGATGCTGCGTCAGGACCGTCCGCGGCCATTCTCTCTAACAACTGAGCTGCTCAATGCAGTAGGAGTAGTCGGGTACGCGCTTACGCACGTGCCTTCTTCAGTTATTTTGTCAGTCTATCGTTGGGAAGGCACACATAGCAAACGTCAGCTTAAGCGGTTGGCGCTTCGCTGCACACAATTGTGTCAAACTAGGTGCGCGTGTCGGAGACTGTAGGGCGCGTCACAGTTCTCGGGGCGCCATTTACGATTCACATACGGATGTAGTTCTGAGGATGTACGCACGTGCACCGGTTTCTTTGTACGTCAGCGTCGGAGCGGTGGAGATGGGGGCACGCATGTGCACGCTTGGAGATGAGACTCCCTTTTGTCTCTACTGGGTAGTTGCGTTCACCGCTGCAGGAATATGCGCACGAAAAGGCAGCTGCGAGAGGAAAAGAAGAACAGAATTGTTCGAGGAACGGATGCACGCTTGCTCCATGCCGGGGATGCCGATAAGAGCCGGTGTGCGCAGGCACTATCGTCTGCTTAGGTCATGGGTTTGCACCAGACATACAGATGTAGCAGGAGTGCTGTGGTGAATGCCAGGTCCAGTGCCACTAGTAGTCTGTCTACTAGCGGTGTGGCCTCTCCAGCGAAAGTCACAGGAGCAGCCGTTGCCGCTGCGGCCCGTATATAGCCTTCTGGTGGGGCAGCTGGCACACCTGTATTTGTTCGCCGCTTCGTTTGGAGCAGTTTCGTGGGTGAGGTTCTTACAACACTGTCGAAAACGGCGCTGCTACTACTGGAGTCTTGGCGCGCGCTGGCACGAATATTTCAGCTGGCAAGCGTATGACGCAATCCTGAAGAGTCTGCGTGTGGGACTAAACGGCGCCGGTCAATGTGTCCTAGATGCGAGAAGTGTGTACTTGTCCTGGCGGGCAAACTCTAAGTTGATGGTGACACACCAGTATTGTGGCTGCGTTGCCGCTTGCCTTACTTGCTGTGGACGTGGAAGATTCGGTAAAGGGCGCAGCAGCTTCTCGTGTGCTTAAAGTACCTGGAGGTGTCTGATTTACCGTGTGTCTGGCAGGATGACAAAAATGTCATGAATGTATCCTTTTTTTTCCGATACTGTTCGCGGGAGGTTCAATAGAGATGTTGTTTTCGAGCAGCGTACCGTCCTGTGCGGTCGTTGCGTCTGCGCTTCACACACGCTTGCCAGAAAACAGCGCTCAAACAATCTCGTGGGGACAGAGCAGTAAAAGTGACGCGAAAGAGGAAAACTTTCATTGGGTCTGCGCGACCGTACCGGAAGCTGCACCGGAGTGAATGACCCGCAGATATGTTTCGTTAACAGTGAATTCTGATTGCATTTCGTACGAACGCGGACGCCTATGTACTGGGGCACCGTGGTGTCCCGCGCGCCAACGAAGTGACCGCAGACCTGCCTCCAAAGCAGCTCGAAGTTCACCGAATTTCGGCTGTAGAACGTTACCCTGCTGTCGGAGGCAGTGTTAGTGAGATGGTTTAGCATATTTGCGGACACGACTGTGGAATCAAGCGCTGACGACCTGCATGGCAGCAGCGGTACACCGGATCCGCAGGGACTCGGCTGTACATAGTGGGGTGATTTTACAGGAGTCAGTGCGTGCTCAGCAGCTCGTGACAAAGAATGTATTACAGCATATTCTCGCCGCCTCGATTGGTCTTGTGTGCGCAAGGGATAATGTGCAGAGCCATCCTCAGTCTGTCATGACGTACTGCAGTGTCAGCAAAATGAGTGATGAGCTCGAACGCGTTGGCACCGAAAACGAGTGGCAGAGCTCGACCCGGCGGACGACTTGCGGGCAGGGTCACCTCAAGGTAGAAGGGGTTGAGTTTCTGCCTCGCAGCACCAGTGACACGACCTGGAGGCGCACAGCGTCTACCAGCAGCACTCAGGGAACACATCATGGAATCACTTACCACTGGGAGCGGAATGCCAGGACGCTCGGCGGCCTTGTGTCCGTATTGAGTGTAGGAGGTGGCAGGCTCCGCGATGTACAGGAGGACTGCCGTCCCCCACGTCTACGCGTTCGTGTGCTTTGACCTGACGATGACTGTGTATGCAGGAAGTGGTCACGTGAAGGGTTTCAAGGAGCAGGTCTCTTGGGGGTGCGCTGTTTTCCTGAGCGCCGTAGATGCTGTCAGTTGCCGGTTGTAGTGTTGCGTGCTGGCACACGCAGGCAGCCTGAGTTTGCTGTCGGCTGCGTTCGGGTCATACCCGTAGGCGGACGAGTGCAGCGAGCAGTCTTCGATATCTTAAGAAACTAGTGTTCATGCGCACTGGCCTGTGAACAGCCGCGGTGACGTGCCGGGCTCAGCGGGCATATCTGGGAAGTTTTAGTGTGGCTCGTGCTTCGACGGCGGTTCAGTGCTGCACCCGGTGCTGAGCAGTGCGTCCCGTGCGCATTTTAGGTGTGCTAGCGTAAAGAGTGGACATGATTAGGCGCATCATGCGCCCACCTTTTCATCAGCGTTCGTACGCTCTCCTCCCACCGTGAACAAGCTTCCACAGCTGCAGCTAATGACTGCGCAGTCGACGAATCCGCTCCCACGGGTGGCCCGCTACTTTACACGGATAAGACCTACGGCGGCTAGCCTTTGTAGTCGCTGCCGGCAGGCATATGTTTGTATGCGAGGCTGCTTCTGCATTCTAGTGCACAGCATCATCGAAATCTATCCCACGGCGTGTGCATAGAGCGAAGTGCACAACTTCCGGCGGTGCATTGTCGTCGCCCTCGTGATTGCACAAAAGCGGTGGTCTTTTGGTGCGACTGTGCGGAACCAAGCCTCGACAGACGCCGAGGTGCGTGGGAGCTGATTCACAATTTTGTATATGCAGGCGTGGCGCCCAGTTACGCATACGGCCTCGCATTGAGCCCAGAAAGCTCCCTTTCTAAGCGGGACACTTTCCAATCCTATTCTACGCCCGAAACGCCGCTCCGCCATGGCGGTATACATTCCGCATGTCCCGGCCGACTGTGTGTACTAGAGGGTCAGTTGACGAATCCCGTGTGCTTGATGGACTTCAGACACAACGTTCTGTGTGGTCAGGAGTCGTCGGATGACGTATCCACTGGTATTCAGCGGCGTCGGACCCTGTGTACAGACATTCTTAGCTCGGAAGAGACTATTTACGAAGGGCCCTCGGACGGTGACGCTGTGCAGCTGCGTTGTACGCGAGTTCCAGCGCTGGTGCTCGCCAGTAGGGGGATGAGGAGACAAGTGCTAAGCAGCACCTCGGCGGGAGCTACGGGAGCCACAATAAAAATCTCACAGCTGCTGATATAAACATCCGGTAGGGAGACTAAGGAGTAAGAGCCTACCCATCACAACGGTGAAGATGCTGGACAAATCTGGTGACGCGAAGAAAGCCGTGTGTGCCACGGGCCACGTGCTTGCAGTGCTGCCTGTACCTTTAGGAGTATCACTGAGACCGATCTGCTGCTGCAAGGCGACCAGCGGCTGGCAGAGCTGCAGACGCTTTGACGGACCGGCTGCGAAAGGATTTGAATTCTTTCTTGCTGCTCGAGAAGTGCCCGGGCAATACACATGTGGTCGTCGCTCTTTCATTTGTACTCACTGCACTCCGCGACGCCAACTAAAACCCAGCAGTAGGCCACTTTCTGTTTCTGACGGTGACATTAACGCAAAGTCTCGCACGGGGACATTCGAGTGTCTTTTTGCTCTCGTGCTCGTAGTAAAAAAAAGGCCAGCCGTGACACAGTGAAGCTGTTGCAGCGGCCGGTGGACGAACCAGATCAGCTTGCTCAGCAAATACACATGAAGAGCTGACACTCACGAGCAGCCGGAAGCTGGACTACCCCTGTATACGAATACTTGTAATTTGCGTACCGTATGCGCGTTGCCTCGTTAGGAGCGTGTTGCTGCGAAGTCTGCCAGAAGTGCTGCTCCTTCATGCGGTAAGCGCCACTGGTACAGACCGCCATTCGAGAGACGGCAAGGGCCATATAGTAATACAGCGCAACTGCCTCGTCGTTCGCTTAGCATCATGGGAGACGAAGCAGACATTGTTTCATACATAAACGTGTGCCCACCGCGCGAGTCTGAGCGCAGCGATGCACTAGGGCAAAAGGTGGCGTTCACGCGGTAGCTGTGCACACACCCAGGAGGGGTGCAGGTGAGTTGCTTGACTCCAGGATAACGCGTGTGGGCTCATGAAAGTCCATGATTCACACCCGGAAGCAGGAAGCAGTTCGGTCCGAAAGGTCCGCCCTAGCCGGTCGCTCATCGCTGTAGACACGTACTGCCTCGCCTTGCATAACAGCCTATTCATTGGGGGATCGAAGCTGCGGCGTGGTATCGGAGGCGGGCCCGCGAGATCTCGGAGGGTACAACGGTATCAGTGCATTTCGCGCTGTCGAGATGCGTCATCCGCTTAGCAAATAAGCAGGTAGAGATGTGACGAACGAGTTGTTTGTACGCCGGAAGACGAAGAGACTCACCTGCTGGCGAACGGGCAAGGATTCGTGACGCCGGAGTCTGTCCCAGACGACCAGTGCCCGGCCGTATGCGAAAGTGAGGTGTGCAAGCATGGAATCTAGCGTAGCGACCGGGTGGACCTGGAAGGGTCCTACAACGCTAGTGTTCCTGCGTACCTCTACCGCTGTCAAAGGCTGGGCGTGCAACACCCTTAAAAGTGACAGGAGTTACGGCGCCTCGTACAACCGCGGTAGTCACGAGCCACCCCATGTCAGGTGTAGTGGTTCCGCCATTGTTTTTACGACACTAGAACACAGCACCGCTCGAGGTTCCCGCCACCGGAGCAGCACTAGAAACATGCGCAGTAGTTCCGCCGTTGTTCGTACGACAGTAGAAGACAGCGCCACTCGACGCCCTCGCCTCCTGAGCAGCACTAGAACCACCCGTCGCAGCAGGACCGCGGGGAGCACTGGGAGAAGAGCCTAGACCCCCTGGGCTCCGGACAGCAAACACGTAAGTGCGGTGACATTGCCGTGAGTCTTCTAGTAGACGCGCGTCTCCTCGCCCACCTGACGAAAAAGAGGCTCGACATGAAGAGCGAAAGACGCTGCAGCAGGTGCTGCACGTTGGGATGGTACAACTGGCGACTCTCTAGTATTGGAACTTTCGCCTGAAGCGGATGTCGCTGAACTTGCCCGAGTAGTAGTGATAGCAAGTGCGGGAGCGGTGATCGGAGTGCTGAACCTACTGGAATACTCTTAGCAGCACGAACACCAGCAGCCGAGTTGTAACCGTCTGCCCAAGCTGCGAACGAATAGTCGAGAAAGCGGTCGAACACTTTCCTTCTTGTACGAGGCTATTCCACCATACGAATGCATGCCGCGCTCGACTGCCTCCAGCGGTGTTTCTCCCAGTCGCTTCGGCCTCGAGTTCCTGTGAAGGTAGAGCGCAGCGTCTCTTTCGTGGGCCGCCTCCCACCAGATGCTACCCTTTCCTCCCGTGTCGTTACTTGCACCTGTAGGGATGCGTAGGCAGAGGGGCAGGAGCGATGATGATGTACGTATAAACATACGTAGTCAGAGTAGTGCTTGTGATATTACACTTCTGAGCACCGGTAGCTTGCGAGGGCGAGCTACTTACACTTTTAATCACTTACGCGCGGCTGCGCAGGTGCAAGGGCAAAGGAATGATAGCGATAATGATATACGTACTGATATATGTAGTCAGAGTGGTGTTTGTATTTTTACGTTAGTATGCACCCGTTGTTTGATGGGGAGCTACTTGTACTTCGAATAAGTAACTTGCTGCTGTACGGATGCGCAGGCAAGAAAAAAATAGCGACAACGGTGTACGTATAGAAACATGCGGTCAGAGTGGTGTTTGTAGTATTACAGTTCTATGGTGGTGACCAGTCGTCTGGGGGGCAGCTATTTGTACCTCGGATAAGTGACGTGCTGCGGTACGGAGGCGTAGGCAAAGGAATAACAGCGATAGTAATAGACCTATAGATATATGTAGTCAGATTTGTGTTTGTGATGTTACAGTTCCACGCATCAGTTGCTGGCGAGGGTGAGCTAGTTATATTTCGAATGAGTTACTTGCTGCGCACGGATGCGTAGGCAAAGGAATAACATTGATAATCACATACGAATAGATATATGTAGTCAGAGCGTTGTCCGAAATATGACAGGTCTATGCTGTAGCTGCTTGCAATGGTGAGCTAGTTACACTTTGAGTACAGTTGATCTCCTTCATACACGCCATTGCTCGTTATCGTACACGCTCCTCGTGAACGCATAGATGATGCCGAGGACGACACTGTAGGCCAATAGTAGAGGAACCTGCAGTACGGCCTGTGTGGGGGTCTGCCAAATGTGATTGAGGCGGGTGTTCTATATATTAGGTCGGCGCGCTAACACCCTCGTGAACTCTGGCTGAGAAACGAAAGACACTACGATCCGCTCTTCGTATGCAGGGCTGGCGCTGCGTGGAGGTCTGGTAAATCTGATTGAGGGGGGCGTTCTGCATAGTAGGTCCAGGCGGAAACAACGTCGTGGACTCGGGCCGGCGCTGTGTGGAGGTCTGGTAACTCCGACTGACACAGGCGTTCTAGTAGGTCCGCGCGGTAAAAACTTCGTGGATCCTGGCTGAGAAAGGGAACGCACTACAGTCCATATATTCGGTCCAGGCGGTAACAACGTCGTGGACTCTGGCCCATAAACGAAAGGCACTACCATGTGCTCTTCGTATGCAGCGCTGACGCAGATCATTGTGAGCGGCCGGCTGGCCCCCCTCCGTGATAGCGAGGACGACCTGGTAACACAGTACTGCAGAACCCCCCAGTACGGCCTGTGTGGAGGTCTGGTAAGTCTGATTCAGACAGGCGGTTTACATTGTAGGTCCGAGCGGTTACACCTTCGTAGACTCTAACTGAGAAAGGAAAGGCACAACGATGCGCTCTTCGTATGCAGCGCTGGCGCTGTGCGGAGGAGGTTTGCTTAGTCTAACTGAGACAGGTGTTCCATATACGAGGTTCACGCGGTGGCAACGTTGCGGAGTCTGGCTGAGAATCTAAAGGCACTACGACCGCTGTTCGTGTAGCGCTGGCGCGAATCCTAGTGAGGCGAGGCCGACCGTCCCCCCCTCCGCTAAGACAACCAGGCGGAGGGGCACAGCACGTCCAAAGGCAGCGACCACTCGGCCAGGTAGTACTCAAGCCGCAGAAAATAAAGCTGCTGCCTCCTCCTCTACAGCCCACGCGCAGAGCGTACAACGTTCTATCTGAGGCAGCGGCTACACTGCCAAGAAGTACTCAAGTCACATGAAATGAACAGGCGGCCGAAGATGCACCCCCTTGCCTCACCGCGAGCCGCGCGAGCTGCGGAACCGCAGAAACAAGGGAGGTGACGAGACCCCTATTTTCTTGCGTGCGTCCTAGAGAAGGCGGCACTTTATCCGAGAGGCTGCCTTTTTTCCGAGCTTGAGTAAGACGCTTCACATGCGCCCGCTGTCAGAACCGCCTCCGGGTGACAGACACTCTATGTCCGCACGAAGGCGTGCAGTCCCCGACAACTATTTTCCATCCTGACACGTTGCGGTCATCATGCTTTCCGGTGCCTGCTTTCTTCGGCTGGTAGCCGCATAGCATCGTTGTCTCCTTTCTTCGACTGGTAGCCGCACAGAGTAGTGTTTTATCGTGCACACTCCAAAATTGAAACTTTCGCGAGACCGCACGCTAGAGACCGATGCAGGCTAGTTGCTTATCGGAGCCGTTCTCTCAGGACAACAAATCTACAAATTGCAAGGCCTTGTGGAGGGTGTGAGTCTGCACATGCTGAGCAACAACTGTGCCCCATTTAACGATGCTGCGTACACGGGCGTGTTACCGTAAAACTCCTGATGAGTCAGCTACAGACCTGCGGAGAGGGAGGCGCGCAGCTGGGATAGCGGGGAATTCCTCCCAGTAGCCGAGAGAGCGCAAGATAACGGTTACGCCCGAAAGAGGACATGGAAGCGTGGTGTGTCGACCACAGACTTGGAATTTGTATACCCTCTCCACTCCGTAGCGCGTTCATTTCCACATATAAAAAGCCCGCCCGATATTTCTTTTACGTACGTGCTGATTTCCGTGTATCTCAAAACTAGAGCCTTGAGACAGCTGCAGTTCACGCAGACATGCGCCTGCTGTGTGTGCGCGCCTGCGAGCTCTCTGTCGCCACGCCGCTGACTAGAGACTGCAACGGCGTGACTGAAGGCGCATCAAACGTTGTTGCGGGTGCTGTCACTCTTTACAGAAAACTCCATTCCCACAGTGGCTGCGCAGAGGGAGCGGGCGAAAGGCGAGTTGGTTAGCAGCAACAAGACTCGCTAGCAACGGCGGAACTGACTAGTGGACGTCGTGAGCCACGCGGCGGCGCTGGAGAGCACAGTCGGACAGAGGCTGCCACTTCATTATTCAGTAACGTGCTGATGTCCCTTCTGCAAGGCTTGCGTGATAGAAGATAAGGAGAACTACCGCCAGGACACTGTCCCTTCGGGCCAAACTATGCTTCAACTTCAAAGTAGTAAAATGTCGGCGGCGCGCCATACGAAATACGGTTCTAAGGCAGCGTCCTGTCGGGTACAAGGCAGCATAGCTCGCGACAGCCATCTCAATCTCGACCGCAGAACGAGGCACGCGAACGCACCCTCAACAAGTCTCCAGGTAGGCACGGGATGGTGTGTCTAAAAGCGCCCGTCTACTGAGTGGTGCTGCGTCCCGACCAAACTAATGCACCTGGAAAGATATCCGACTGTAGACGCCGCACAATCGCACACCAGCGAACTGTCGCCGGCCCTTGCAGCTGTATACGTTGTGCGCGGACATCACCACAGCGCTAATTGGTGGGGGCCCCCCGTGCGCTCGCCGCGCTGGAGGGCACTGTTTCATCTGGCTTCGTGAGCTGAAAGTCCACTTGCGGGTAAGTGGCTACGGAGTCATTTGCGCTCACAGCTCTTCTGAGGACCTTTTCTGTCAGCATTCCCAGAACATCAAGTACTCGCACGTGCTCGTTTTGTCAAAAGGCTTTTGTGTACGTCCGCGTCAGCTCGCGCGCACGATGGAAAGCCCCTCAACACCTGTTAGTGCTACGGAGAAGCGCAAGCCGGCCGCACACGCGGACAAGTAGATTAGCACAGTGGCACGCTTTCGTCGCCCCCGAGCCTCTTCAGCCGCCGTCACAGCACGGCGCGTGGGTGCAGAGTCGGTCCTAAGACTCTATGGTGAAGAGTGTCACGCGTCAATGGCGACGTCTACCCAGACCGAACGCATACAACTTTGCAACTCCGTTTTATACCGCCCACGAGATGCGCGTTTACGAGCGTGGCCAGTTCAAGTATGTGGACGGCAATTAAAGACGTCAGAAGAACAGTGAGGAACTTCGAGCGCCGCTCGGCGTACAATGTAGAGTTGTCTTTATCTAGTCGACAACCAAGGTAGCTTCCATGAGTGAGACCATTATCAAGATGGTGGATCACCATCAGATTGCCGCAGCTGTACCCACAAGAAGTGTCCAGCACAAAGCCCCCATGGCCTGTAGCCCACGTCACGTTGCCGCAACTTAAGCCTGCGCTTCATCAACTACCGCCTGTGCCCTGCAGGCGCTAGACAGGTCCCAGTGGCAGTCGGCTCATTTAAAACTGAAACGCGGGCTTCTTGTGTGCATATGCCGCCTGTCACTACCGTCTACCCACCTATTAAGCGCAATCGATTGCCGGAGCCTCTGGGGCACGCGAGCACTACCCGCGCCGACGCAGCTATCCGCATATGCTGCGAAGGCACCGCAGCAGCACGCTGTTCTTCCTGAGCCGGAAATCGGGGGGGCGTGAAGACCTCTCTTCCTACAAGGAACAGCACCCACGCCGCCATACCTCAGTCGGCATCAGTTCATGGCAGGCAAGCGTCAACGAAAGCGCTTTTCACATTGCTTGCGGTCGAAAAGAGGTTTACGCGCGCTACTTTTGTGAATGGAGCGGATTCACTCTGCGGCCCACCGCCTCGCTCGTGTAAAGCGGAAAGACAACGGTAGCACAATTCGAGATGTACAGCATGCATCCATATGTGGGGCACGCGGCCATCGTACAGTGCCTAGACCCCTATGCTACGGCGGGCGAGCGGAACGCGTCGGTACTAGCCTACGTATGACTGAACTCTTGACCGGGTCGGGGGCACAAATCGACAATGCAACGCCTACGACCCAGTATTGGGCAGAGTGCTGAGGAATATCTGCGGTGCGCCAGGCAACCTGCTCGCTTTCTCGTCGCCGTGGGAGCTGCGCGAACTAAGGCGCCTCGTAGGCTGCGCGCACACTAAGGCGTCTCGTAAGCTGCGCGCACTATGGCGTCTCGCTAGCATTTGTAATCCAGTGGAACGCGCCGCATTACACGGGCTGTCCAAGTCTGTCTTTCCCGACGTCCTCGTCGTAGCCACCCCGTGGCGCTTACTTTTCGTTCGACTGCTAGTATCACTCCTACGATTACCAATACTGGCCTTACTACTAAGTGGCCCGTATAGATCTTTTGAGCGGGCCGTCCGGATTCTTGTTCCTCCTTGCGCGGTCTTGCAGGCAGATGCTGCAGTAGCCGCTGCCTCTTCACGTAAGTTTCGCGGTGTTAGCCCCGGGCAGATCTCGGGATGACCGCTTCTTCATCCCCAACACGCCTGCTCCACCCACACCGCCACATCGTATCCGACTGCGTCGAGCTTCAGAATGGCGTCCATGCAGCGAGTTTTTCCGCCAGGACACAAAGCACACTCTTTCAAGGACCCGGAAGCACCCAGCGTACGGGACACTGGACGGCAGAAGAGAAGAACAAGTACCTTCGTGCTGGCTTTGCTTGCACACCAGCGAGCCATATCAGGTTGTCGGGACGTCAGCGGGGACGCAGATATCCGTCGTACAGTTTCCAGTTGGCGTCCCTTTTTGGTAGGTTCCCCCTCCGTTGGTTTAGTTCTTTTCCTTTTCCTGGCACAGCAGTGGATCGTCAAGGGCGCGTTGTGTGCACCTGATTCCATGAGCGCCATCGTACGCGCGCGCTCAAAAGCCGGCATCGAGTTGACTTCTCCCGGTGCTCGGCGACTGGCCGAGCGCGATACCGAGGATGACGATAGCAGCGACTCTGAGTCTATAGAGGAGGAGCCGGCGGTAAGGCCCGCTCCTCCGCTTCAACCTCTCCTGCGGCTAAGTTCCCAGCATGGCGCGCTCGGTCGTCATCGAATTTCGCGGGGAATGCGTCTTCGAGCACTCCTAGGCGGTTTAGGGCGTTGCAGAGCAGCTACCGAACTTTTTGTAGCAGCGTTGTTCGTCTCGGGCTTCTTTCTCCTGGTCGCTGATCACCTCGCTCGTCCGTGCAACAGGACGCGCGGCGAGTGCCGGTTTTTTGTGTCTGCAGCCCATATTTACGTGCGTCTAATGGGGGCCTCTGCGCTGCTCCTCGTAGCCCGCCTAGCTTACCCTTGGCCGAAACACCGGACTCATCCACGAGACCGGCTGGATGTGTAAAGACGACATAGTTGCAGGGACGGAGTCCTCTACCGGCGCGAAGAGGCAAACGAAACCACTATGAGGATGAAGTCACTGTTGTCGAAGAGGCTGACCATACTGAGCCGTACCCTGATGCGCCTGACGCGCGGAGGCACGTAACGTGAAATTCATGCATGAAGGGTAGAGTCGAACATCCCTCAAGGCACCCGCGTTGTATGGCGTGACCAGTGGAAAGGAGCGGGTCTGTCGCAGCGGAATGACCAGCGGTAGCGCTAGGGAAATGATAACTCCTTGGTTTTATGGTGTCTGCCTCCACGGACCCGGACAAAGGGCTCATGTTGCGGAACAATACCTTGCTGAATGCAGAAGTGGCAGTGCATATCGTGCGCCTCCAGTGTGGCTCGGTGGACTGCGTACAGTGCGGTAAGCTCGCCGCTTCCTGATGGAGTTGCCGAGTAGTCGTGGCTGCGCGCCACAGCCAGAGGCGGACTCCCTGCGTGCCCGGCGCCACTCAGCGGACGAAAAATTGACTACCAGGCGGCACCTTGTATGCGGGTATGTAGGGTGTACCATTGAGGAGCCCTTGCTTGTGCACGCGTGCACACCCGTAGAAATATCAACGTGTGTCAGATCGTGTGTGAGACTTTCCGCGTCATCCGTGCGTCCAGACGTGTCAGCACCCGTCGTTGTTTGTTGCTGAGGGGGCCTCATTGTCAGGTATTGCCGCTCGGAAGGCACAGCACTCCCCAGCATCCCCACGTCACCGGATCCGAACGGGTCGAGAAGGCCAAATCATTAGTACGGGGCATCGCACCTCGTGGGGAGGCGTGGTATTACTGCAGTACCCAGGGATCGGCAGATCGCGCCTCGCTTCCAGAGACGCAACCAGCATGTCTCATCCGCGGAGAAAGCCAGGGACTGCTCGGGATGTGCAAGTGCTGCAGTAAGAACGCAGAGCAACCACCGAGGAGAACAAAGCTGGGGGAGCAGCACTCGATGGGGTGAACGAGCAGCGCACGCGGGTGGCATCCTGCGTGGGGACATTCGGCAGCGCGTCACGCCCTCAAGGCCACACACGGCATATGCTATACCTTGTTGAAGGCGCCTTTGCGACGCAGCACACGCAGCGTACACAGCCTGAAAGGTGAATGTCCTTGCTTCCCCGATGCTGCGTCAGGACCGTCCGCGGCCATTCTCTCTTACAACTGAGCTGCTCAATGCAGTTGGAGTAGTCGGGTACGCGCTTACGCACGTGCCTTCTTGAGTTATTTTACCAGTCCATCGTTGAGAAGCCCCACAGAGCAAACGTCAGCTTTAGCGGTTGGCGCTTTGCTGCATACAGCTGTGTCGAAGTAGGTGCGCGTGTCGGAGACTGTAGGGCGCGTCACAGTTCTCGGGGCTCCATTTACGATTCACATACAGATGTAGTTTTGAGGGTGTACGCACGTGCACCGGTTTCTGCTTACGTCAGCGTGGGATGCGGGCGCGCATTTCCACATTTGGAGATGAGACTGCGTTTCATCTCTACGGGGTAGCTGCGTCGACTGCTGCAGGAATACGCCTTCGAGAAGGCAGCCGCGAAAGGAAGAGAAGAACGGCTTGTCAGAGAAAGGGGTGCACGCTCGCTTCATGCCAGAGATGTCGATAGCAGTTGGTGTGCAGCGTCACTACCGTCTGCTTAGGTCATCGGGCTGGACAGGAGATATAGGTGTAGCACGGGTGGTGAGGAGAATGGGAGGTCTAGGGCCACAAGCGGCCCGTATAGTAGCGATGTGTCTTTTCAAGCGAAAGTCTCAGGAGCAGTCGCTGCCGCTCCGGCCACTTTATAGCCTTCTGGTGGTGTTGCGCGCGCGTTGTGGTGGCACCCGCACGTTCTGCGGCAGGTTGCACGCCTATACTCGTTGGGCGCTCGGTTCGGTGTAGTCTCGTGGGTAAGGTTTTTACAGCACAGTCAGAAACGGCGCTGCTCCTGCAGTCTCGGCGCGCGCTGGCACGGGTATCGCACCTGGCAAGCGTGCGACGGATTCTCGAAGCGTCTGCATGTGGGACTACACGGCGCTGATTAATGTGTCGTTGATGGGAAAAGTGTGTACTCGTCTTGGCGGGCTGACTCCAGATCAAAGGTAAAGTACCAGTGTTCTGGCCAAGCTGCCGCTTGCCTCACTTGCTGTGGACGTGAAAGATTCGGTGAAGGTCGCAGCAGCTTCTCGTGCGCCTAGAGTACGTGGAGGTGTCGGATTTATAGTGTGTGTGGCAGCATGATAAAAATCTTACGACGTATCCTTTCTTTTCTGATACCTTCTGAGGAACGTTTGATAGAGATGATGTTTTCGAGCAGCGTACCGTCCTGTGCGGTCGTTGCGTCTGCGCTTCACACACGCTTGCGAGAAAACAGCGCCCGAACAATCTCGTGGTAATAGTGGAGTAACAGTGACGCGGAAGAGGAAAACTTTCATTGGGTCTGCGCGACCGTAACGGAAGCTGCACCGGAGTGAATGACCCGCAAGGATGGTTTCGTCTACAGTGAATTCTGGTTGCACTTCGTACGAACACGGACGCCTATGTGCTGGGGCACCGTGGTGTCCCGCGCCACAACGAAGCGACTGCAGACATCCTTCAAAGCAGCTCGAAATTCTCCGAATCTTGGCTGTATAACGTTACCCTGCTGTCGGAGGGAGTGTTAGTGAGATTGTATAGCATATTTGCGGACACGACTGTGGAACCAAGCGCAGACGACATGCATGGCAGCAGCGGTTTCGGGTCCGCAGGGGCTCTGCTGTACGCAGTGGGGTGATTTAACAGGAGTCGGTTCATGCCCAGCAGCTCGTGTCAATCAATGTACTACCACGTATTCGCACCGCCTCAGTTGGTCTTGTGTGCGCAGAAAAGAACGTGCAGAGCCGGCCTCAACGTACTGCAGTGTCAGCAGAAGGAGTGACGGGCTCGAATGCATTGGCACCGAAAACGCGTGGCAGAGCTCGACCCGGCGGATGACTTGTTGGCAGGGTCACCTCAGGGTGGAAGGCGTTGAGTTTCCGCCGCGCAGCACCGGTAGCACGACCTGAAGGCGCACAGCGTCTACCAGCAGCACTCAGGGAACACATCATGGAATCACTTACCACTGGGAGCGGAATGCCAGAACAGTCGGCGGCCTTGTGTCCGTATTGAGTGTAGGGAATGGCAGGCTCCGCGAGGTACGTGGGTACTGCCGGCCCCCGCGTCTACACGTTCGTGTGCTATGACCTGACGATAACCGTGTAAGCAGGAGGTGGTCGCGTGAAGCGTTTCAAGGAGCAGATCTCTTGGGGATGCGCTGTTTTCCTGAGCGCCGCAGATGCTGTCAGTTGCGGGTTGTAGTGTTGCGTGCCGGGACACGGGGGCAGCGCGAGTTTGCTGCCGGCTGCGTTCGGGTCTTACCCATAGCCGGAGGAGTGCAGCGAGCAGTCTTCGATATCTCAAGAAACTAGTGTTCATGCGCACTGGCCTGTGAACACCCGCGGTGACGTGCCGGACTCAGCGGGCATATCTGGGAAGTTTTAGTGTGGCTCGTGCTTCGACGGCGGTTCAGTGCTGCATCCGGTATTGAGCAGTGCGTCCCGTGCGCGTTTCAGGTGTGCTAGCGTAAAGAGTGGAGATGCTCAGGCGCATCATGCGCCCACCTTTTCATCGGCAATCGTAGGTGCTCCACCCACCGTGAACAAGCGCCCACAGCTGCAGCTAATGACTGCGCAGTCGACGGATCCGCTCCCACTGGTGGTCCGCTGCTTTATACGGATAAGACCTACGGGGGCTACCTTTTGTAGTCTTTGCCGGCAGGCATATGTTTGTATGCGAGGCTTATTCTGCATTCTAATGCACAGCATCAGCGAAACCTATCCCACGGTGTGTGCATGGAGCGAAGTGCACAAATTTGGGCGGTGCATAATTGTCGCCCTCGTGATTGCACAGAAGCGGTGGTCTTTCGGTGCGACTGCGTAGAACCGAGCTTGGACAGACGCCGAGGCGCGTGGGAGCTGATTCACAAATTTATATGTGCAGGCTTGGCGCACAGCTACACACTTGGCCGCGCATTGAGCCCAGAAAGCTGATTCACAAATTTATATGTGCAGGCTTGGCGCACAGTTACACATTCGGCCTCGCATTGAGCCCAGATAGCTCCCTTTCTAAGCGGGACACTTTCCAGTCCTATTCTACGCCCGAAACGCCACTCCGCCATGGCGGTATACATTCCGCATGTCTCGGCCGACTGTGTGTACCAGAGGGTCAGTCGACGAATCCCATGTGCTTGACGGACTTTAGACACAACGTTCTATGTGGTCAGGAGACGTCGGATGACGTATCGACTGGCATTCAGCGGCGCCGGACCCTGTGTACAGACGTCCTTAGCTCGGAAGATACTACTTACTAAGAGCCCCGGTCGATGACACTGTCTGTGCTGCTGCGTTGTACGCGAGTTCCAGCGCTGGTGCTCTCGAGGTGGGGAATGAGGAGGAACGTGCTAATGATCACCTCGGCGGGAGCTACGGGAGCCACAATAAAAATCTCACAGCTGCTGATATAAACTTCCGGTAGGGAGACTGAGGAGTAAGAGCCTACCCATCACAACGGTGAAGATGCTGGACAAATCTGGTGACGCGAAGAAAGCCGTGTGTGCCACGGGCCACGTGCTTGCAGTGCTGCCTGTACCTTTAGGAGTATCACTGAGACCGATCTGCTGCTGCAAGGCGACCAGCGGCTGGCAGAGCTGCAGATGCTTTGACGGACCGGCTGCGAAAGGATTTGAATTCTTTCTTGCTGCTCGAGAAGTGCCCGGGCAATACACATGTGGTCGTCGCTCTTTCATTTGTACTCACTGCACTCCGCGACGCCAACAAAAACCCAGCAGAAGGCCACTTTCTGTTTCTGACGGTGACATTAACGTAAAGTCTCGCACGGGGACATTCGAGTGTCTTTTTGCTCTCGTGCTCGTAGTAAAAAAAAGGCCAGCCGTGACACAGTGAAGCTGTTGCAGCGGCCGG